TTTTCCAGATTCCCTTGTGCAGACTCCAGAGCAACTATGGTGCTTCAGCAGGTCCCATTGTGGATCTCAAGACTGTAGCGGTAGAAAAATAACTTTCCCTTTATCTGTCTAGGTTCTTGACTAAGTGTTCCTGTCATAAAAGAAATTAACAGGAGAAAAGCAAAAGTTTAATAACGTGTATATTTTCTGTCTACATGAAGATATACATAGAAACTGAGTTAACTCCCTAAGATAGCCCAGTCAACACTAAATACCACTGCCAGCTAGAGATGAAAGAAAGGTGTAGCAGTGGAGAGGCAAGTTAAGGGAGGTTACCGGGAACAACACAGTAAACAAGGTTATGGTTGTTATAAAGATTTAAGTCAGTGCCCTTTCCATTGACAAGAGTTTCTAGAGATTTAGTCAACATCTTCTTTCTGGTATAGAGAGGGAGACAGTCTTAAAAATGGAGAGTTCCCTTATGATGTAAATGTTTCTTATGAAAGGCTAACTTTACTCCGTTTTCAAAGCTTCTTCTGTGTCTGTAGTTTCTTACAAATCGCATTTTCTTAATTCAGTGCAGTTTTTATACTAAAGAGACATATTTCGGGATGACAAGTTCTGTTCACCTTCACTAGCTTATATCTTCCGCCAATAAAAGAAGCAGTAATAATTTTGATGAAAAAACATTAAAATATTGGATTTTTTGTTGTTCAGTCACTAAGTCATGTATTATTGTTTCAAAATAAGGGTATAAAGTATTTTAATAATTTATAAATAACTATTGAGAACTAAAGAAAAAATAACTTCCATAAATGTTTGGCTTCATACCAAATAGGCAAAGGAATTGGAACTTTCAAATAATGCATTATAGAAAATTTCCTAAAAGAGAGCCACATGTAACATTAACCTCATGCTCTATAAAGTAACAATATCAGAAAATTACACTCTTGCATGATGCCACATTTTTAAGATGATGATTAGAATTTTAAACATACATATCTGAAAATTTATACCAAAAAGAATGTAATTTGCAATTCAGAGTACTTAAAGAGTCATAGTTCTTCACATATCAGAATTACTCAGGTTTGTCATTATTTTATGAGCTTTGTACTTATAAGTGGATTTACAGATTTGGATTTAATCCATCAAATTACAGGAAAACTTGTTTAAGCTTTAGTCTAATACAGTGTAATTTTCAAAAAGAAATATAAATAGGTTGAGTATTTTCTTGCATTGGAAAAGTATAGCATAAAGATTGATGAATTAGTTATTTTTTTAGTCTAAGAAAAGACTAGAATTAGAAATACAGTGTTTTTCAAATTTTGAGATTATAAGAAACACTTTATATTGCTCCCAAAATGCTATTTAGTTATTTTTAATTTGTGGTAAAGTTGCTACAAACTCTAATTTAGTCAGGAAGGATTAAATTTTCTTCAAGGGCACATCAGTAATGAGTCACTATTGGGCCTTAAGACAAACATTACTTGCTGTGAGTATATGTATTATTTTCTACTCTTTTAAAGGTTTTTTCCCCTCTATTTTGATTTTTTATCATGTTAAAATAAACATACAGACACTGAATCCAAAGTACATAACATACCCGTGTTTACATGTTTTAGCATGGATATTATTATACTGTAATATTAATAACTTTTACTTTATAGTTTAAATGACTAGGTATTGTTCAATCATGTGGCCCTTTAAACATCCATTTTACTTTTCTCAAGTATTTTCCCTTTAAAGAATAGCATTGTTGTATATTATAATTCCCTATCAAGAGAGATTTTGAATAATCTTAACAAAAACGTACATGATTTTATTCTCCATCTATCAAATACTGTCTCTAGAACTTAACATAGTACATATGTTTTGTACATATATATATATACATATATACCAAATAGCTTTTCTATAAGATCTTCCTTTATGAGTATTATTTATAATAGTTAAAGATGGAAACAACACAAAATATATATCAATGGAAAGTGTTTAGTGATGGCTCATTCACAAAATGGAGGGCTGGGAAGCCCCCCCACCCAGTCCTTGCCAAAAAAGAGGAAGCATCGATGTTCTGATAGGGAGTAATCTCTAGACTTACATTAATAAGTGAAACAGTGAAGCTGTAAAGCCGTTGCAATATCCCCAGAGTGGTTAATCATAAAAAAGTACCCTATTTTTCAAATTACTGTTGTCTCTACAGTCAAGTTAAGGGGAACTATTTATTTTCATTAGTTGAGCTTTAATATTCCTGGTAATTTCCTGCCCTCACCTCGTGTTCTGCTAGCTAAAGAGGACAGAGAGTTATTGAGACTTTTTGTCCTCATGACAAATATAGAATATTATAAACTCTTATAGAAGCGAAAGCTAAGATCATATACTTTATGATGTCTATCTCACCTAACATATTTAATCTATTATATGTTCTCCTTCATTTTAGAATATTAAAAGGGGAATCTATTTTAGAGCTTTATTAAAAACATGAATGTTAGGAGTCATAAAATACACTGGAATATAGATTCTAGATTTTTTAAATTTATAAAATATATTTTCTTTTTACATTAATTCAGCTACCATTTGGGGAACAGATACCAAACACTGAATATCCATTTAAATATTAGCCTTAATGATTCTGGACAATTTTTTTTTTTAAATAACATGTTTGGTTGGCAAATACATAAATGCTTCTCTGTAGCACATACAAGCAAAGCCCTGAGTTTACTTCCACCTCCAAGAGAGAATACCTTTTTTCATTTATATAATCATTTAAAAAAAAAGTAAAAAAGGTGTCCCGGCATTGAGATTGTTAATGAAAAGTTGTTGCTGAACCACAAAAGACGCCGGGATCCTTGGCCTCTGGAGGAGAATTCCATCTGGAGCCAGAGAAGAGGCTTGATTGCTCAGAGCTTTTGTGTAATAAAGTTTTATTAAAGCATAAAAGAGATCGAGAAAGCTTCTGACATAGACATCAGAAGGGGGCAGAAAGAGTGCCCCCTTGCTGGTGTTAGCAATGAAGTTATATACCTTTTAATTAGTTACTACAATGAATCAAAAGAGTGTCTCAAGTTTGTGAACATTTTACCAGACCCACTCCCACAATTTACATTTTAGGATAACAAGATTAGACTTTAACGATAGAAAGATCTTACCAGACCCACTCCCATAATATACATTCTAAGATATCAGGATTAGTCAGAAGGTTTTCAGGAAGGAGGACTGTCCTCAAGAAACTGTCTCAAACTGTCCTCAAACAGGATACATTGTTGTTATATAATCCTTTGTACAGAGTTTTATCTGAGTTGTGTAATTGACTAAGGCTTTAAGGAATGTAGACACAAAAAGTTTGTCCTTTCCTCTTCCTTGAGAATTCCAGACCCCTATCTCCACTTTGAGGGCCCCAGACTCCTTTCTCCTCCTTGGGGACCCTAGACTTCTTATCAATCTGCCTAGGAATTGACTCTCTCAGTAGCAGTGAACAAGAAATACACAAGTTTTCTTTCTTCACAAACTTGTCGTCTTGTGGATGAGGACAGGAGGTCAACTGGAAATGAGGCAGAGTCTCACATGGTGATAAAGGACGTGGTGGCAATAAGCAAGAAGATGAGATTGGTGATGAGTCCAGGGAAGTAGGGGCACTGTGCCTTCACTGTGACGGGAGACTCATCTGGGAAGACCTGAGGATGGTGCCTCAGCTGTTCACAAAACTGGAACATCTTGTAGGACAAAGTGGATTATAAAGAACAGTCACCTTCCAGTACTGATTGCTGCTTTGGGATGGGTTTCCATTGGCTTTGGTCTTCACTTCCTACTTCAAGTCTCTACTTATTCTAATCTATATATATATATATTTATCACAGATAAATCTAAAAGAAATAATCACAAACATGCAGCTTGCAGGATGTTGTATTTCTACTTTGAAACTCTTAATGGCTGACTAAGGCCTGAAAGATAAAATCCACATTACTCAAACCAGCATTCCAGCTGCTAAAATCACACTCTTTCCTACTTAAGCAATTTTAGCTCTAACTGTCCCCAAACATAAACCTTTTATTCCACTTAAGCTGCTCCAACACAAGTTGCTAATTCTTGTCTCCCTTGTTTACTGTTTTTGGTTTGTTTTGTTTTTAACTGTTTGGTTTAGAATGCCCCTCCTCTATAATGTGTCTCTTTTTAAACCCAAATCCAATGCTCTACCCTTGATCTGGAGTGATCTCTCTTTCCATAGAATAACTTCCGCAGTTACTAGTGCTGAAAACCTATCCTGTAGCTGTCAGTACTAGATATTGTTATATGCTCTATATATTTATGTATATATCTCCTATGTATTGACATGGAACTTATTATCTTGTAGTATGGCTAATCTTTTCTATATCATTTCTATCTCTCCAACTGAATTCTGCATTCCTTAGGAGCAGCTGCCATATTCTAGACTTCTTAGACCCTCTATTTCTTTTTATACACATTGTCTGAACAATGGAGTTCCTTTTTTTAAGGTGAAATATTTTGAGATGTTTTAATTTCCTGTTGCTTAAAATTTCAATAAAGAATAAATTAAAGTATTAATAATTGTGGTAGGTTGAAAATACCTTTGGTGCTTTGTGTTCAGGATGATCTATAAAAATATCAGGAGAGCCATATAGACTTACCTATTAATTATTTAATTATCTGGAAATGAAGACTATATGAAGAGTTGAGTAAAACTGTTATTTTTTTTTGCTCCATTTGTAAAACCAAGTGAATAAAATTTTGCTAACTGCTCTTCACTCTTTCACCTTGTGTTCAGTTGTAAAATATTTAATTGGAAGTTGGGAGCTTGGAACTATTACTAATATAAATATATTTAATGAGTTTAATAACAGTTTTCACTTAGAAAATCATAGGTAGAATAGATTTATGTTGGTCTGTGTTTTTTTTTTAATTTGTGTTTAAACATTTTAAACCTTCATGTTAAAGTTTGTGTTTATTCCATTTTATTAATTTGATGTCATTCATTTATTTATTTTTGTTTTCTTCTTTTCAAGGCCCTGTGGAATCCTACATGCACTGAAGGTTTATTTAAACCAGTACATAATATTTCAACCTAACTTACATCATTATTTGATAATAAATGTATCACAAATCTGACATGCTAAATATCAAATCAATTTTTCATTATTTCTTGCATTAGCTATTTCTCAGAGTATATAATACAGAAATGTTTCCATTCCAAATATTTCACACTTTTTGCATTTGTACACAATTGCATAAACTATTAGTGGATATAGTTTAAACTAACATTCCAACCTTGCTGTATTTTTAAAACAAAAATAGACCTTTAATTTTAAATTATCTCTATATGCAGCTGTTCTAAATATAATATTCCACTTGGCAGTACATATTTTTGTTTAACCTTCTCATCCATGTCATTTGTGTCTCTGGTTATAGTCTTTGTTTAATTTCACTATATATTCTATGTATATTAGGTAAATTTGAAAGCAGTGATTCTAACTTGGCCCATCATTGCATAACAGTTCTTACTGAAAAACTAAATTGCCTCTATTTTTCCCTTGCATTGAGATCAGAAGATGAAAATGTATGTCTTCAAGTGAAGTAAATCGTGAAGAGTCTTATTCTCTCCATAGATAGTAAAAAAATTATTTATATCTCTAAACAAGTGAAGAAAGTTTATTGGCTATTGACCTCATATTGAGGAAAAGTTTGTTCAATGTCTCATTAAAAAAATAAAAAACCCTGTCTCCTGGACTTGGCATCACTGCCTGATTTCTGTGTGTCCTTCTTTATCACCTTTCTATACTACCTCACTTTAATTACCAAGTATCCTGGTAGCAACAAGGCACTCTTGCATGTTGTAGTTTATTGCAAGGATAAGTGACTGAGCTCAGAAATGTCTCAGTCTCGTAGCGCAGGGCAACAGAAGAGGCATAAGGCTAAAGAGAGGAAAGCAGGTTTTGCTGAATTCTATATTTTTTTTAAACAGGAAGTGAAATAATCATAATGATGGTAACATTTAGAACTATGCTATGAAATTTCTTAAGTTATTTGACTCATTTGTAACATACAATATGGATGATCAAAAGTTGGGTTTAAATCATGGTATTAAAATAAAACTAAATGTTTATTCACTTGAAAGCACTGTATGTGTCCTTGTTGACTTTGCTCTTTTAAAAACATAAAATGCATCTTTTTATGATTCAGGATACAAAAATGATTTTGTTCCTCTAACAGTTTTCTAAAGTTTATTCTTCTGTTCTTATCTGTTGCTACTTATTGTCTTACTTTACATTTGAAACCCTTAAGTGTAGATAATGTAAGCAATTCCATTACCTACAATAAAGCACTCCTCTGGTAAAGATTTTTATCAGCTTGAATGGTCAATATCATTTTGAGGAAGGAAAAAAAATTTTAATTAAAGATATTTTGACTAGGATACAAAAGAAAAAATAGATGTGTTAGCAAGTAGATTAAGTCATTAAAGAAAGGTACTTTTTCCCTCAAAAGCAATGTAGCAGAAACTGTCAATATAGACAAAAAAACCACCAACCTGAAAAGGTACTATTTTATGATTGCTCTTTAATACCAGTAAGGCATTTCAGGCTGCTTCCTTGGAAACCTTTCTTTTTTTTTTTTTTTAATTTTTTTAAAATGGAATTGGGCTGAATATATATCAGTGAACATGTTTATCAGTTAATCATTTTACTTTCATGGTGAAATATATTCAGACTTTCCAGCAATGTTTGTTATGTAGCTTGATCATTTAACTATTAAAATGTTTTGTATTTTCTAATTACATTTAGACATGAATTAGAAATAGGAATTAATGGACTTTTTTTTTAAAGTGTGTAAGAATCATTAAAATCACTGCACTGTATTCCAAGGTGTAACAAAACTGAAGTTGATTGTTTCTCAAAGAAAGCAGCATGAGGTGTAAAAATGTCCCTGACAAATACAGTGCAACATAAGTATTTACTGATGAAAGAAGTGTTGTGCTATGATATTATGCCTGAATATTTGTCTGAAATACTTTGATAATAATTAACTAAAAATAAGAGATGGACAAGATTAATTAAATTCATTTTCCAAATAAGGAAAGTGGAATTTAAAGGAGCTGAGTGACCTTCTCGAGTTCATTTAACTTTTCTAGCAAACATTAAAGCTGTGGGTTGTGTTGTAGGTGTTCCAGATCCAAAAGTCAGGATTTTGTTTTGTTTTCCTGATTTCAGAATGCTGGTGGATTGCATGATTGCAAAACTCAATACAAATTATACTTGGATTGCATATGCACATATATACATACTTGTATATTATACATACATTATGTACTGTTAAAGATTGTGTTTACCTTAAATCTGCATTATAGACTAGGCATAATGGTGGTGATAAAGATTTACTATGTGAATATCTGTCTGAGATATATAATACATGAGCTAAGGAATTAATTTTATAATGTTAAGAATTAATCATTCAAATATAAAGAAGTGCTTAGAAGAAAAACCATGGACAGTTTTGCTAGATGTTTTAACAATTATTAACACATTTTATTTATATCAAATCATTTTGAAAATTTAGTTTTTCATGCCCTGAAATACATGCTCATTAAATGTTCTCATTTATAGTATTTTAAAATATAAATAACTTATTATTCGTGGTTCGATTTAAGACATATAGCTGTGTTTTAAATGATTTTTTAATGAAGACTCTAAAGTAGGTATATGTTATGATACACATGTGATTTTTATTATGGCATACATAAAATCTTCCTTACTAAAATTTTCAAAATTGTTATTATTTTTCGTAATTACCTAAATTTGATATTGTTTTAAATATTTATTTAGNTTTTTGAGATTGCATCCGAGTACTGCATTTTGGACTCTTTTGTTGACTATGATGGCTACTCCATTTATTCTAAGGGATTCCTGCCCACAGCAGTACATACAATGGTCATCAGAGTTAAATTCACCCATTCCAGTCCATTTTAGTTTGCTGATTCCCAAAATGTCTATGTTCACTCTTGTCATCTCCTGTTTGATCACTTCCAATTTTCCTTGATTCATGGACCTAACATTCCAGGTTCCTATGCAATATTGCTCTTTACAGCATCGAACGTTGCTTCTATCTCCAATCTCATCCACAACTGGGTGTTGTCTTTGCTTTGGCTCCATCCCTTCATTCTTTCTGGAGTTATGTCTCTACTGATATCCAGTAGCATATTAGGTACCTGCTGACCTTGGGAGTTCATCTTTCAGTATCTTAATCTTTTTGCCTTTTCATGCTGTTCATGAGGTTCTCAAGGCAGGCATACTGAAGTGGTTTGCCATTCCCTTCTCCAGTGGACCACATTTTGTCAGACCTCTCCACCATGACCCGTCTGCCTTGGGTGGCCCCACATGGCATGGCTTAGTTTCACTGAGTTAGACAAGGCTGTGGTCCATGTGATCAGATTGACTAGTTGTCTGTGATTGTGGTTTCAGTCTGTCTGCCCTCTGATGCCCTCTCTCAGTGCCTACCATCTTACTTGGTTTTCTCTTACCTTGAATGTGGGATATCTCTTCATGGCTGCTCCCGTTTTGCTTAGGTGGCTTGAGTGGTTTTGTTTGCTCAGGGAATCCTCAAGTCTGGTCTTCACTTTGTATTTAATTTTAATAGAAAAAAATAGAAGTAGGTAAAATATTCAAAGTAGTAGGTTGAGCATAAGTTTGATTTGTCAACTAAACTTTTATAGGAAATCATGATTTGCATGGATTCACATTACTTTCATTTATTTAGAGAATATTTACTAGGTGCTTACAATATGCTGGGCCCTGGGGTAATGTGCATATATATGTAACACTGTATACCAAGGAATCATAGATGAGTATAGACTATCAGAATATTAATGTATGATCATAATGTTTTATAATTATGATAGCAGAAATGTCTGAAATATGGTACTTTTAGAAATAGAATGTAGTTCATCATAATTAGATCTAACAATTGATTTTTAGTATTACCTTACAGATTTATATATATAAGAAGAGAATAGATGCTAACGTATTTAAGTACCTTTGAGTTTCAAACACAGGCACTCTTAGTTTTTCACTATATTCTTCTTGCTTTTATTTGTTGCTCTATGAAACAGGCACATTTGGTATCCATTTATGTGGGCAGCCATGGTCCATAGGAACCCAGTTTAATCCTTTCACTTTGATCAAATATTTAAAATTTACTTCAACTTTAATAAGAAAACAATCATAAAATGTGACTAGATAACACAAAACACATAAGTTGGTATTAATAAATAGTAGTAAATATTAACTTGAAAGAATTCCATATTATTAGATTGCTAAATTATAACAAAAAACCAGAACACAAAGTGGTAAATAGAAAAAGGTAGGGTGTGCTCATTCTTGTGTGATATATTTGGGGCAACAAATCATTACAATGCAGTTAAAAAAGTATCATGTCATTCATTTGACAAAATATTTTTGAGAATCTGTTATATGCCAAGTACTTGTGTAGATTCTGGGCATACAAAGCAAAAATAACTGTAATCCCCCACATGGTCTTTTCATCCCATTCAGCAATGATAACTATAAGTTGTAGGCCTTGTCATTATCCCTACTCTACAGATGAAACCATGGAGGTTTAGGGAAGACCTGACTGATGTCGCTATAAGTGCTAAGTGTCCCCCAAGTTAGTCCGGTGAGACCAAACGTGTTATCACCTCACACAGCTCAACCAGTTACACTGTTAGAGTGATTATCTCTATCTGAAAGGTGAAAAAAGGCAGTGATACTTTCATTTCATTGCAAAACATATTGGAAGAGAGGTGTGCAGAAAGAATCACAGTTAGTTAATACCAATTCCCTGACCCGGCTATTTTCTAAGATCCCAGTAAAAATTATATTTTAATTAAGCGAAAGGAAAGTAAAAGAGATAGTAGGCAGCTTTGATAAATTTTGATTGTTGTATTAAGGTTTAATGCTTCAGAGAATGAATGAGTTTAAATTTCCTTTGATCATATTGCCTCTGAACTATCACACTGAGGTCTTAAAAATTTAATTTTTTTTTCCCCTGAAACTAACTAAACTTGATGGAGACTGAAATGTATTTTTATTACCAACTATATCTGCTAGTAAAAACCCAAATAAACAAAGAAGAAAACTGACTTATGGTGCTGCATTCTAATATCAACTACTAATCAAATGTAGAAACTCTTACAAAAGGAAAACATATTGAATAAGCACAGTGCTAGCCATCTAATTCTGAAAGGTTGGGTGGAAGTCATCTCATCTTTCTGTACAGGCTTTTGTAGAACTGTCCATCCAGGAGACATATTCATAGCCCTTTAGCAAGCATACATGATGATTAAAAACAGCAATGTTTCCACCTACATAGCTAGGTTATCTTGGGAATGGTGATAACCACTTTTAGCTGACTCCAGGGTACTCTTGAAAACAATGTGATTGCACTGTGCAGTCTATATTTGTTTATCTTACCGTGCAGTTGAAACAGAGCTGACATGCTACTCTAGTGCTTACCTGCCCTACATTCTTACTGAACTATATGTTATATTTCCAAGTTTCACAGATATGTTTAGCATTGTTCATCTCATTATCTTTCATTGAGTAATCACTTAGTGGATGTCTTCTAGGTATCCAGAATAGGCACTTGTGTGAGCAGTATTACAGGAAATTTAGAACTTGAAATTTCACTCAGGATTGATAGAGATTAATAAATTACAAATTGCATCTTACTAATAAGTTCCTGACTGTTATTTCTCAGGAATATGAACATCATGAATCCTAATAACTCATACTTCACATCAAAGGGTTGATGAACTAACATCACATTTCTCAATGATTCTGGATTTGTTTATTTAACTTACTATGGGAGAAAACAGCAGTATGCCCTTAACTCATAGTTAATTTTCTTAGCACTCTTGCCCAGGAAGAGATAATAAAACTTACTTTTGATAAAAATGCTCAGTAACTGAATAGTCTGTTGAGGAATTTCATTCAAAAGATAATCTTTCAGCTAAAAGGGAAGAAAATGCTGTGAAGGGCATAACCATGTTTTCAGTAGAGATTTTAAAAAGTAGAGAAAAAAAATGTCTTTCTTCCTTTTGTTTAAATGTTTCATGAAAAAGAAGA